TGCCAAGCTTGTTCACGCGTGAAGGGGAAACCCTCAACTAACTCCAGCTCCCCAAAAACTTCACCAGCAACTTCCGACAGCACCGTCAGAGGGTCCTCAAAAACTTTGCAGGTGTCCAACGCTTGACTGCGAGGGGCAAGCTTTCGACCGCCTTCAAAGCAGACATCTGAGAACAACTGGTAGGTGAGCTCGGCCAAGACAATTCATCAGCGAAACCAGCAAGATGGTTCAAGCATCTCACCGTCTCGATCTCACGGGATACAGGTAGCCTTCGCCTCTGCACCCGCTGCTTTGAACGCCTTGAATGCAAAGCAGAGACATCACCCAAGAAGCCATCATCCCTCGGCAGCGGCAAAGGAAACAAATCTCCGAAGCGCGGCAAAGGAGCATTGCAAAGCATAGCGGCGCTAAAAGGTCTGTCGCACCCTCGACCGCCACCATCGATCGAGGGTCGCCTTCTCTTCTCAAACCTTTCCTGGGGCCTTGCCCCCATCTTCCTTCTCCTTGTTGCCCTTGCCATCACCTTTTCAAGAGAGCCTCTTCTCCTCAGCTGCTAATCGGGTTTGCTTCATTACCCCAGCCTTTGTCGCCTGACGCTTGGCTGCAAAAGAAGCCACGGCAGGGTCAACCGTGGACGGGCCAGCACTCTCCCGCAACGCAAGGAAATCTTCTGCACCTTCGTAAGAAGGAGCATCTGGCCGTCCTTGATGCGCGTGTTCGATGAGGGCCCGCCTCCTGTTCAAAGCTTCCGCGGCCGCGATGGCAGGCAAGTTGAGCTGGTCGTAGCACATCATCAGGTTGCGGGCTCTGCAAACCAAGGAGCGCTCATGGAACGGTTGGTCGACCGCGGGCTTCTCTTTTCCAGCCATGATTCGTGATGTTGAACCTCCTCAACTGACGGGTGTCGTGGCTGATGGCGCGGTCGTCCGCCGAGTCGAAAATCACCGGCAGTATGCGCAGGTCGCGTGATTGCACAGCCCTCTGCACCGTGCTGAACACGTCATGGGACACACCCCTACCAAGCACTTCACATCCATCATCACTGAAATTGCTGAACTCCTTGCCCCCAACGACCACCTTCTGGACGTCCGCCACAACTGCTGTCCCGTCGCCGACGCCACGGCCATCTGACGCGTAGACCACCACCCATCTCTTCTCCACCCCGCGGCAGCGCAGGCGG